AAAATTGCACAAAAAATGGTAGTGCGTGTATATTTTAGTTTCTATTACTGTAAAGGTGGGTTGAGAATAATGGAGGAGGAAGGTGAGTCGGTGTTGGCAGTGGGTAGTGCAGGGGAGGAGGAGGGAAGGACTCGGAAGGTTATGGTAGCTCTAGAGTGGCCTAATCTGGTGAATGATGGGTGGACGATGGTGGAATGTGGTGATGCTGTTGGGGAGTGGGACGAGGGGGGTAGGAAGAGGGGGAAGGTATGGAGGAAGTGCTTATTAGGTGGACGGTACTGGGAGAAGGAGTGGACTTTCAATGTGGATCTTGATGTCGCTAAGACAATTGCGAGCGCGGTTATGTGGGTGAACATCACTGGTAACGACTCTGGTTCGATTACTTCATGGTGTATTTTTCGTCACCATCTAGATAGCTGGACGTTGGACGATGGGGAGAAGGAGGAGGCGGAAGTTGAGACTAAATCAGAACGTGGTGGGTTACTCTTGCTGCAAGAGTCTTGCGAGCTGGCGTCAACGATGTGGAGAAGGTGCGGTTTGCCCTCTCAGTTCCAGTCTACCTGGCCTCATTATTGATTGGCCAACCCGCGGAGGTTCGATCCCTGCGGACTCCCATTTACACCGTCGTCGAGGGTGCTGGGGAGTTCCTTTCCTCGGAGCTCTGTGATGCTCTTCGGCCGATGGTGGTTTGGGTATCGGCTATTAAGAGGATCCCGCCAGGGGTGACTGAGTGGTGACAGGCAGCTGACGTGTCACCACGTGGTATGGCAGGTACATTTGAAGGCTGCCAGAGTCGTCTTTTGGGGACATGAGAAGAGTCCGGCAACTCGGCATTTGGAATATCCATTTCAGATTGCGTAGTAGAGGATTTCCCGCTCCTTATGAAGCGATTGTTAACATGATTCAGATTTGCGAAATTGTGGAAAATGTAGATTTCCGGAAATTTCATTTTTTTACTATTTGGTTTTTTCGTTTGTTGTTGGAGAAAGCTGCAGCCAGGAATCGAACTCACGTGAAGTCTATACGGCTTGTTCGGGGGTTTCTGTGCAAGGTCTTGCTCGAGCTCTGTTCAAGGGTTTGTATAGGGATCCATATCGAGTGAGGACGATATGGATAATAGGGTCTTCAGTGTGTTGCTATGGCTTGTGACCATTGATTGCACTCTATTGGGCATGGGATCATTCGCTATGGCTCTGCGAACCC